ATATATATATATATATGGTTTTTTCATATATATATGAAATTCATCTCCAAGATATGCTCAAATACTAAGCCTAGGACCTGTGAATGTGCTATTATTTGAAATAGGGATTTTGAGATCATATTTGATTAGGCCCCAAAGCCAATGACCGGTATTTATAAGAGAAAGAAATTTGGAGACAAAGAACACAGGGAGAAAGACCACGCAAAAATAGAAGCAGAAACTTGGCATAAATGCTAACAACTATCAACAAAACCTAGAAGCAACGAAGAAAGGGGCGTCCTCACAGTCTGCAGCAGGCACACTGCCACACTTTGATTTTGGACTTTCACTCTACAAAGCTTTGAGAGAAGGGATTTCTGCTGTTTGAAGCCATCCTGTTAGCAGTACAGATTTAGCATCCCTAATCTGAAAATCCAAAACGCTCCAAAATCTGAAACTTTTTGAGCACTGATTTGATCTCTGAAGTGAAAAATTCTACAAGTGATCTTATGTGATAAGTCAGTCAAAATGCAGGCACACTAAAAAGACCATATAAAATTATCTTCACATTATTTGTACTAGTGTACATGAAGGATAAACCTCATATTCAAACTTGGGTCCTTTTCCCAAGATATCTCACATATATGCAAATATTCCAAAATCTGAAAAAAAAAATCAAATCTAAAATTGTTCTGGCCTCAATCATTTCAGAAAAGGGATACTCAACTTGTATCTTGTTACAACAGCCCTCAAAAACTAATACAATGAACCAAATGCTCAAGGATGTGAATTTTATTTTTTTTTAATTTTATTTATTTATGTGTGTGTGTGTGTGTGTGTGTGTGTGTGTGTGTGTGGGGCCAGCTCAGCCCACCAGGGGGCGGGCTGGCTGGCATGTGGTGCTGGGGGATCGAACTGTGGTCCCTGGGTTTTTGCTAAAGCTTGTTCTAAGTAGGTGCTTTAGACCACTGAGCCATCTCACCAGCCCAAGGATGTGAATTTTAAAGCAAACTGAAACTTACCAAAAAATGTATAAACCCAAGAGTCCATGACAACCTACCAGACTGTCCCACCACCCAAGTCTTGAGCAAAGTAAAGTATACTGTACTACAAATGATTATACTTTCCCAAGGATGATTTTCTTCTCTACCACCAAACTTAAAATAATTACTGAGGTAGTTTTAGCAACTAAAGCCTACTTTCCAGGCAAACTACTTGAATAACATTAAATACAATGCTATTTTAAAATTAAAAATTAAAAACTTACCTTAGAAAGACATATCCAGTGTTACATTTAAATCTATAAAATAAAAAAAGTTAATCAACTATAAATAAGATTCTTTAAAGAAGGCTAAGAATATGCAGTTGTTTATACTTTCAGAAGCATAACATTTCTACTAAGTATAAGGAATACAGGACAGTTTTCTACCTCATGATTGTATCTGGCACCCCCTGAACATGTACAAATATTCCCTAAGAGCCACAGTGCCCCCACAAGCTTCAACTTTTTTTCTGTTGGGTTATCTTTTTAAATTTCTGATTACATGAAAAACAACTGTGGTAAAACAGTTAAAATGACAGAACTGGCTTTTAACTATATGGGCAAAGAGAACTGAAACCACATCCAAAGTTAGTTTGAGTCCTACCACACTTCCACCCTGTGTCACTCAGTGGTTATAAATCACAAAATAGGCTTTTACTCTGAAGAGTTCTGAACTTAACCAAATGATGAAACTTGCCAACACATCCTCGCAAAGAATGTAAAAATGTACTAATAATTTTTTTTTAATTACATAAAAAAGTAAAACAAAACAACTGAAACGGCTGGGAGTAACACAGTAGAGGACTCGCCTAGCACAGGAGAGGTCCTGGGTTCAGTCTCCAAAAAGAAGTAATTCTTTAAACAGTGTGACATCTGGTAATATACTCTTCCTAATGTCATGCAATAAGAGATACAATGTCATATAAGTTGAATTTTTTTGTCAAAAGCATATTTCACCTTCAGCAGCCATTAGAAAAAAAATTTTGAAAATGAGTTAAAGTAGCAAACCCGAACTCTTCAAAAGAGTTAATGTCATCAAAAATGGTAAATAAAAGATTTATAGAGATGAAAAGAGACTACTGACACATTTACAACCAAATCTATCTTGTGGCCTATTAAGTACCTAACATTTACCACATCTAAAATATACTTCCTATATGTACCCTATCTCAGCCTTACCAAATGTGTTACCCTATGGTTTTCCCCATTAAAGTAAACAGAAATTGTTATTTCCTAAGCGTTCAGCCTTCACTTCTTGATTACCAGAACCTTAGTTACTCTGTACATTAATCCTTTACCTAAAATTTTCACAACTTTTCAAAACTCCACACTGAATTTCAGCCATGCACTACATAATACCATTTCAGTCAAAAATACACCATATATACAATGGTGACTCTGTAAGATTATAATGAAGTTGGAAAATTCCTATCACAGCACCATACCATAGAGCAACATATTACCTATGTGTCTGCGGGATGCTGGTGCACACCACATTGCCAACAGCACAGAAAACACACCATATACCACTATGTACAGTACATAGTACTTTATCATAAATGACTATGTTACCAGCATACCAGATTTATAATTTCATGCTTTTTATTATTTTAAGACTAAACACCTTTACTTATTAAAAAGAAAAGCTGCCAGGCTTGTAGTACATGCCTGCAATCTCAGACTCAGGGCTGAGGCAGGAGGATCACTAGGAGTTCAAAGCCAGTCCTGGGCTTCACAGTGAATTCAAGGCCAGTCTGATCTACACAGCAAGACAATGTCTCAAAAAAATAAATAAAATAAAATAAAAGTTTACTGGAAAACATAACACAAGTCTTACAGGGGCAGGAGCCTCATCCCATACTGTGTGCACTGTCTGCTGATTGCATAAAGAAGCCACAGGGCTTGATCAACCACTTAGGTTTGTGAAAGTACACCATACAATGTTCAAATAACATATCCTGTTGCCAAGTGATGTGTAACTGTCTATCCTTGGAATGCTGGCATTTTTTTGTCCAGAGAAACAACAAAATAATCTTAAAGACATCTTTGAAAACATGAAGATGAGTTGCAGCTACTTTTCAGAAGGTTACTGTACCTCAGATAGAACTGGCCAGACATTTCTCCAGAAAAATAAAATTGTAAAGAATGACATAAACTGTATGATTTCATAGTAGTGCAAGAGGGGCTGTGAGGCTGGAAAACAACATAGGTTAAAGGCCAGTCTGTGTTAGAACTCTTTTCCTGCCAGGCTTTATGATTTCTCTAGTGACTATAGCGATAAGTATGAAGGAGGAGTTAGGGAAAGATAAGCATTAGGGAAAAACAAGGAAGTCAGCAAGAGACATACAGTCTAGTTTTACTCAAAGGCAACAAGAAGCAGGGCAAGGACTCCAAAGACTGCTACCATCTACAGCAAAGTTAGGAAGTTACCCAGGCAGACAAAATGAGCCAAAGCAGACACAGTGGGATAACAGAACAGAAGCTTAGACACTAGTCAAAACCAGGGTTGGGAATGGGGCACAAGGCTGGAAAGTGTCTAAGAGAAAATACTGTAATACCTAGAAAGCCACACAGCAATAATTGTATATTATAATCAAAGGTCTAGGAACAGTTAGATAAAAATAAAAAGCCTTATTATAAATCCTGAATTCAAAAAGAATTAAAATAATTACAGGGCACTAAAAATTAGATCTAAGTGAACATGTGAACACTGAATAATTTATTCTATTTTTATTTTAAAATACAAGCTGTATTAGTTTTTTTATTTTTTCATTCTTTTACTTATATATTTATTTGGTATAGGGTCTTGCTACGCAGCTCAGAATCATAGTGATCCTCTCATCTCAGCCTCCCCAGCATGGGATTACAGGCCTGCGCCACCTGGATCAACCCTGGGTACCTGTGATTGGCCAGGTAGATGCTTATACTGCTGAGCTATCGCCCCAGCCCAAGCTGTATTAATTTTGATTTGATTATTTCTTCTTCTTTTTTTTTTTTTTTTGGTGGAACCGGGGATTGAACTCAGGCCCTTGCACTTGCCAGGGAAGCGCTTTTTCCACTGAGCCATCTCCCCGGCCCCGATTATTTCTTCTATAATTTTCTCAATCTGTGGATTGTTTTTTTCTTTTCTTCTTTTTTTTTTGGGGGGGGGGCCACTGGCAGTTGAAACCAGGGCCTTCATACTGAGCTACATCCCAGCTCCTTTCTATTTCTGATTTTGTGACAGGGTCTCATGACACTACTGAACTGCCCATGCTGAGCTTGAACTTGCTATGCTCTTGCTTTAGCCTTCTACATTCTAGGATTACAGGCCTATGCCACCACTTCCAGCGCTGTGCATTCTTCTCTTCAGATTAGTGAGTACTGTTTACCCTCATACTTTATCCTCTGAAGCATTTTGCTTCAGTTCTTGCTTACTCAACCATAATGCTCTCCTATCACCAAACTTGTCTGATTGAAATCTGTTCTGTACTCATCGCCATACTCTTCTGTCCACATTCATCCCACACACTTAGTAACTAAAAATGCTCACTCACCAATATATACAATGCTTTCACTCTCTACTGCCTATTACACCGTTTTCTTAGCAATGTCAAAAATAATCACATAGTCTTTTCAGGCCTCTTACTAGTTGTCTTCCTCCCTATTCCAATCACGCCTTCAGATTTCAAAAATACATATGCACGCACGTGCGCATGCACACACACACATATATATACACACACACACACCTGCTTACATCTTTTACTTCTCTGCTCCAAGTCAGATTTAGAACATTCTATCATGCTATTTTATAATCTAAAAGCCTCTTTTCATCAGCCATAAAAAAAAAAAATGCCTTCCCCATGTAAATTATTAAGAAACCTACCACAATTTATACTGCTCAGCAAATGTTACCTGCCTCCCCAAGACATATCTTAATCAACTACATATTACTAGTAGGAGTAGTCACACAAACAAAATGTTAAGATGAATACAGCAGATGAATCCACACTTAACAGGTCCACAATTTAAGAGCAACACATATTTAAAAGTTATTCAGTAATCCTAATACTGTAAATAACAAAATATTAGCATATCTCAAGTGTTTAAATATTATACAACTTTAAAACACCATAGCTTAAGCCCTGATTCTTGGCATTAAATCCTTCACAAAGTTTTTTAAGGTACTCACTTAAAATAACTAATCCAGGGCCTGGGAGATGGCTCAGTGGATTAAGTGCTTCCCTGGAAAGCGCAAGGGCCTGAGTTCAATCCCCGGTTCCGCCAAAATAAATAAATAAAATAACATAACTAATCCAGCAGGGTCCGTGGCCTACACTGACACCAGGCTCTCCTCACAGGTGACAGGTCCAAGTTCAGGGGCACAATTCAGACTGTACCTTCTTCTCTCAGCCTGTGGGAGAAGCTGGACAGACGCCCCCAAAGGTTACCAACCATCCAGGAGACTCACCTAAGGCCCCATCTGCTAGTCCTTAGCCAAGCTGGCACAGGCTACCTCCCCTGCTGTGGGACACACAGTTGGTCCGCTCTAAGCCCAGGCAAGGACATGGATGGCACTTCCCAAGCACCATGCTCTGTAGGCAACCTCAGACCAGCTCAGGTGGTTTCTTTCCTGGTGCTCTAGGGCAGGATGCAGGGACAGACAAAGCACAAGGCAGAGCAGGTGCCAAATTAAGGCCTAAATCAGCCCCAGAGTCCCAGATCCTCAGAACCAAGCACAGGGAAGACCTAGAAGGTCCTGGATCCCCTGTAGGTATCCTTTTATGAACCCATCCAGGACATTTATCAACAGCAGGCTCTTTAGGATCAATGTGTGCAGAAAAATGAAGGCCTCACTACAAAGACAACAATATGCAATGTATTAATTACTGTAACTGTCCTACTAACCTGTTTTGAAACTGTTTCATTGCTATTTTATTTTCTCATTAAAATGAGTACACACACACACACACACACACACACACACAAAGAAAAATGAAGGCCTGTTACCTGGTCTTTGTCGAGCAATATAAATAGAGCATCATAAGGTAAAAGAGGGCTAGCCAACAGCTCCAAGGCAGAACACCTGCCCCACAGGCATGAGGCCCTGGATTGTGGCCCCAATACTTCCTCACATAAACAACAGAAAGAAAAGAAGCTGTCAGATGACTTTCACACACACATTAACTGTTACTTGGAGCTAAAAACTGGCTGGGGGCAGTGGCCAGAGGCAGGTTAGGAACACTCCCTCAGGACACAGCAGTCCCTTGTCATGGAGA